ATGGCTTTAAAGAGCTTGAATGTTTTACATAGTCACAGGCCTTAAAAACGAGTGCAAATAATAAACTTTGATTCTTGGACTCAAATTTGAAATGTTCTGTATGTATTATGTTCTGTAACTGTAAAGTCTGGTCAACTATTTTCCCAATTTGACATTGCCAATCCTGCTATGTGACTATTGCAGATTCGCACTTTGTAATATCGATGCTAAAAATATATTTTGCAGCCCTACCCTCTACGGAGGATGAGGGAGCTCTCGGATTTCATGTAAAATATTTTAATTTAGGTCTCAATGGATTGAAAAGACTTGAGGGTAATTGAATTAAAAGTGTATTTTTTGGCGGGAGAGGGGGGGGGTTGCATACCAGGTGTAAATGGGGCTTGGGAAGTAAGCATGACATTAGCTTATAGCTCACTATGATTTGGAACTAAGATCCTGAAAGCACAGAAGGACACAGGCGCAATGAAGGAATAAAAATAGCACTGTGAATGAAATCCCAGAGGTATCTGAGAGGAGCTAAAAATAGAGCAGGTATGAGCAGGAAGTGTGGTGTGCTCACTACTCTCTGTGTACACCATCTTACGCCATTCCTCACACACTTTCAATGTCCCGACTAAATTCGGTATGCGAGACTGTTGATTCAGTCTTTCATTTTTTTTCTATACGATAAAGCTACAGTACACCACACTACAAACAAACACTACATTAATCCTTTAACAGGTTAAGAACCACACAGTATATAATAACTTAAATGACATTGAAATCTTGTAATAACCTCCAGTTACAGTCCAATGAGCTCCCAGTAAAGGGTAATACAGTTGCTGAGAGAATTCAAATGCACAGCAAGTAAAAAAAACACATGCAAATAGAAAACCATTAACAAACTGAGAAAACATCTTCATAAATTTGACACATGCACATACAGAAACGTGCTGCAAATAACACAGACAACAATGGAAATGAGCTGCGGGACCCCAAAAAGTGAAGACCCCAGCTGCTTCTTGTAGAGACACAGTGGTGTTGATGGACATCTGACAGATTTTTTAATTTGTTTATGTTTTTTTTTTTTTGCATGTGTTTTCTTAACTTGCATTGCATTTGAGCTCTCTTTGCCACCGTAGTCAGGGGTAAAATTTACAGCTATATCTCACCCAAACAATACCAACTTCACACCCATTATGAGATTATTTTCCATTATGTGATTATTTAATATTTATTTTAAATATTGTGGACCAAGCTCAGCAACGAATCACCTGCACCATGTAGTTGGAAGCAAATTAGAAAGGACTCATCAGATTGCATGTGCATTAAGAGTTTAATGGCAGAACTCGTATTACTACTTAATAAAAAAATCCATGTTACGTGACTTGAAAGTGATTGGGAAAGCAAGTGAAAGAAAAGGATGTGTGTCTTTTTGGTTGTTGCATTTAGGGGTCTCCACAGCGAACTACCTGCATCCATGTATCCTTATACTGTTCCTGGAGATATATCTTCCTGCAGAGTTCAGCTGCAACCTTGATCAAATGCATCTGTATTTAATAACCAAGTAGTGCTTCAGATTCAACTTATTTTTCTTTTTTAGATCAGGGTTTGAGCTGTTGGAAAGTAGATCTCCAGGAACAGGATTGGGTAGCCCTGCTCTAAATCCTCTTTCCTCTTACCCACTAACTTCATGTGCTTATTTATCAGATCCATATATCGCTTCTTTGGTCTTCCTCTTTGCCTCCTGTCTGGCAGCTACATTCCCAACATCCTCCTACCAATATTTTCACTATCCATACATCCTCTCCTTACATCCTCACAAGTCCAAACCATCTTAGTCTTGCCTCTCTTACTTTCTTCTTGAAATATCTAACGTGAGCTGTCCCTCATTCCTAATCTTGTCCAACATTGTCACTCCCGAAGAAAACCTCATCATTTTCATATATGGTACCTTCAACTCTGCCTCCAGTCTCTTCTTCAGAGCTGTCTCTAAACCAGGGGTGCCCAAACTTAGTCGTGGAAGGCCTATAGTTGACCTCTAACCCTAATTAGACACAACTGAACAAGCAGATCAAGCTCGTATTAGGTACAATAGAAAGCTCCGGGTAGGTGTGTTGGAGCAAGTTGGAGCTAAACTCTGCAAGACTATGGCACTAAACTATACAACATAGCTGGTCTCACCACTGTCTTGTCCTCTTTCCCTTTAATTCTTGCTGGTATCCTTCTGTCACACATTACTCCTGACACATTTCTCCACCAATTCCAATCTGCTTGCAATCTCTTCTTCCCTTCTTTTCCACACTCTCCATTACTCTGGACTGTTGACCCCAAGTACGTATACTCATGTATTCTGTCTTTATACGACTGACATTCATTCCTGCTCTCTCCTAAGCAAACCTCCAATTCTCCAGGATTCTCCAATTTTCCTCTACCTGCTCCCTGCTCTCGCTTTAGATCACAATGTCATCTGAAAAATCGTTGTCCAAGGGGATTCCTGTCTGACCTCCTCTGTCAACTGGTCCATCACTTTAGCCAACAAGAAGGGACTCAGAGCTGAGCCCTAGTGCAATCTCACCTTCACTTTGGACTTCTCTGTCTGTCCTACAACACACCTCATCGTTTTTTATCATATTAGCATACATATCTGACATACTTCTGTGCTACTTCTTACTTTTCATACAATACCACAGCTCTTCTCTTGGCACTCTCCATGTCTACAAAAACACAGTGCAGCTCCTTCTGGCCATCTCTTTAATTCTCTATCAACATTCTCAGGGCAAGAATTGCATCTGCTGTGCTCTTTCTAGGCACGAAGCCATACTGCTGCTCACAAATATCAACTTCCTTCTGTAGCCTACCCTCTATCTTAAACCTTCACTGTATGACTCAGCAACTTTATCCCTCTGTTGTTGCTGCAACTCTGCACATCACCCTTGTTCCTAAAGATTGGCACAAGTACACGTCCCCAGTTTTCCTCAGGCATCATCTCACTCTCTAAAACCTTGTTGAACAATCTAGTTAGAAAGTTCACTGCTGTCCCTCCTAGACACTTCCATACCTCAACTAGTATGTCTTCCTGACCAAATGCCTTTTCATCCTCTTTGACAGCCGTAAACCTTATTTTAGAGAGTTAGACTTGTGATGAGAAGGTCCTGACTCTGGTAGGGATTGTCGGTGGTGGGTGTAAATAACCAGAGCTCTCACCAACCTGAATACCATGGCTGAGGTGAGTCCCTTGAGCAAGGCACCGGTCCTCCAACTGCTCCCCAGGAGCCACAGCAATAGCAACCCCCTGCTCTGGGTGTGTGTTCACGATGTGTGTGTGCACTTGGATGGGTTAAATGCACAGCACAACTTCTAAGTGTGGGTCACCACACTTGGCCACGTCACGACTTTCATTTTAACTAACTTCTGACCTCATCCTTTCTAATTTGTTGTACTTTCTGCTCCACAGTGTTCACCTCTTCTACCATACTTTCCCTCTCATTCTCCTAATTCATCAAGTACTCCTTAAATTTTCTCTTTACACTCTTCCCACACTCTTGTGAGTACGCTACCACCTCTTCTTAATAACCATGACCTGCTGCACATCTGATACTATGCAGTAATGTATGAACATCTTGTTTTGGGCACTTCATACAATTCATTTCAATCTATTTCTCAAACAGCTACTGAATGACTGTCAACGACCGAGAATTTAGGATCTTTATGGAAAACAGCATGAAGCTTAATGTGTTGGGTCTGAGAAAACCTTTTTCATTAAAAACTATTAGGACGATTTAAAAACAAACCAACGCACAGTTAATCTGTTTGATAACATCTGGTGGTAATTCTGAAACACAAAAGACTTTTAGTTTAAGACTCCAAAAGAAGAAACCACACATTCATTCGGTATTCCAGAGGGAGAAAAAGAGGCTGGCATGGAAAAAAAAAAAATCACTGAGAAGGGCAGGAGAAATCAACATTTCCATGTGAAAGCCACTAAGATTTCCATCTTCTTCTCACTACTGTGTGCTGGATTGATTTGCTGTTGGTTTGCTGTTCAATGAATGTGTCTAGGTCATATGAATGTAGACATATTCAAATATTTAAAAATCAAAATACCCCACTCTGTTTACTTTAAAATGATCGATTAAGGTTATAACCAACACATACAACGTACATTATTATTTAGATTTAAACATTGTCAAATTTTAGAAATGTTTTGGGTCTAAGAAACCTTAGAGGACATATTTTTTTTAATATGCTTAATTTATTTCATGTTTGTTTTAATTTGTACTCTTATATACCATTGTAAGATTTTCTAAATTTTTCCTCTATTTTTCCATGAGTTTTTTTGGGGGATTTTCAAATTGTAAAATTAAATGGTAGTAAGTACCATTTTATTGTTTTCAAAGTTAATGTATTAATTACATTAAAACTAATAGTATTTATTATGTCTAGTTAAAATTTAATAACAGAAAATCATGTGTAAACAACTGAATTAATCTTTTATTTATTTATTTTTTCTTTTTGTCTGGATTTGTGATATAAACTTAATGTATCAAAATGTAATTATTTAAAATGTATTTACAAAAAAATGAAGCAATTTCTTTGATCTTTAATTGCAAAAAGTGCTGTATGCTAGAGGTTAGTGTACAAATTTAAGCATGGACAAAAAAAGGGAGAAAACTCGTATTTTAAAATGTAGTATTTTTTATTTATTTTTTTATTAATATTATAAAAAATATTTTAAAAATTATCTATTAAAAACTACTATTTTATTAAGAATACATTCTACTTAACATGTAATTTATTTTGGTCACAATTTGAAGTTAAACAAGACTCTTAATTGTTCATGTTGTCAAGAAGACCTTACATTTTCTATGTGTACAAAATGTAATCTCATTAACTGAATATGAGAGCAGCTCTGGACATGAAGTTCATGTGTTCATGTCCTCACAAAGATAGACAACAGATGATGAAAAAAACAAGCATTTTATTGATGAGACAGAATGTCATGCATGCTCGACACTCACCTGAAACACCACACGTGATTTCTCCAGCAGATATGTCCTCATGTTCGCACCAATGATGTGATACTTCTTATCAAAGCCAATCTCAATGTATTTCCCAAATCGACTGCTGTTGTCATTCCTGGTGGTCTTGGCGTTACCAATAGACTAGAGATGAGAAAAGAAAAAAAACATTAACTTTCCTTTAGTAATTGTATAAACAAACAAAGTTAAAAACATATATATTTTATAAATAATTGACAGATTTTATCCAGTTAAGCAGTTTTTTGCAAACGTTCAGAAGTCACATTGACATTGAGGTTTCATTTCTTTTTGGGAATGTCCGTTTGTTAAATCTTTTTGATTTTATTCTCCAAAAGGTTTGTGGTGATTTAGTAGACACGTTATTTTTGGATTTTACGCTAAAGAAAAAAAAAAGTTTCTGTATAAACCATGTTTTTTTGTTTTTAACGTTTTACATACATAAATATACAAATACTAAATGTAAACCCCATTTTAGAAACAAGGATTGCACTGCAATTGTATATTGCAACTGTACTTAAATACAATTCATTCATTCATTCATTCATTCATTTTCTTGTCGGCTTAGTCCCTTTATTAATCCGGGGTCGCCACAGCGGAATGAACCGCCAACTTATCCAGCAAGTTTTTACACAGCGGATGCCCTTTCAGCCGCAACCCATCTCTGGGAAACATCCACACACACACACTAATACACAACGGACAATTTAGCCTACCCAATTCACCTGTACCGCATGTCTTTGGACTGTGGGGAGAAACCGGAGCACCCGGAGGAAACCCACGCGAAGGCAGGGAGAACATGTACTCCACACAGAAACGCCAACTGAGCCGAGGTTCGAACCAGCGACCTTCTTGCTGTGAGGCGACAGCACTACCTACTGCGCAACTGCTTCGCCCATTTTCCCAAAATATTTGTCAAAATAAAATTCATCACCTAAAATAATTCCATTTGCTGAAACACCGAGAAAGTTGTGGCCAAATTAAGATTCAAAATCACCCCAGAGTGGATGAAAACATCCCCAACAGCAGACAAGGGTTAAAATTAGTCTTATAAAGACAATACACTTCATACCGTTGCAATACAGTCAAAAGAAAGAGATTGGCTACTCGCCCACTAATGTAAACAAGCATATTGCCCTGTAGACTAAAGAAAATGGAAGTGATCACCTTTGATGATGAATAGCCAATAAAGCCATTTCTAATTTCTAAGACAAAAAATCTGAACATTGGGTGGCTTCTCTTTATTCTTTATACATAGTGAGCTCAGCTAAACAGACATGTGCATTTTGTGAACGGTTTATCAGATTAAAAGTTTAAGGTCAGATGTGGGTGACAGACGCCAGTTGGCGTTTCTGTGTGGAGTTTGCATGCTCTCCATGTGTTCGCGTGGGTTTCCTCCAGGTGCTCCGGTTTCCTCCACAGTCCAAAGACATGCGCTATATAAGCATGGTCCAGTACAAGATTCTGACGGTATGATAACCTTGGATAAAATTATTGCAGTTTCACAGTTTGGCGGTATTGGGATTACTGCTCTGAAATAAGTTCTTTTTAAATGTCTGGGTAAAAAAAAGGACACAATATATTTATTTTGAGAAACATTTTAAATATTTTGTAACAGTAAACATGTCAGGCTAAATATTTAAATCAATTATTGACTTCTGCTGTCTTAATTTGTTTCAAAAATTTAAAAAGGCATCTTTAGAAATATTTTCTGCTGGAGATACTGCTGTCCTAAAAAATGTAAATTAAAAATAGTACACATACCTTAGGAATGGTATTGCAGAAAATTTGGACGGTTTTGAAACCTTGACTCTTCCAATCTACGGTATACCTTGAAAGCGATTTTTGCCCCATGCCTGGTGCTATAGGCGAATTGAATAAACTAAATTGGCCATAGTGTATGAGTATGAATGGATTAGTGTATGGGTGTTTCCCAGTACTGGGTTGCAGCTGGAAAGGCCAGCCGCAACAAATATGCCAGAAAAGTTGGCAATTCATTCCATTCGTGACCCCTGATAACACAACACAAATCAATTGTGTGGAACCTAGCAATTTTTTTCAGTGTAGAATCTGACAAATTATGTATAAACATATCCCTCTGAGAAAATATTCATGAGAAAATTAGAAATATGATTCGAATAAAACTGTAAATTTGGTTTCAGTGTGACTGAAGAGCAGACTTGTGGCTCTGTAGTGATAATTGGTCAGACAGGAATGCATGTTTCCATATCAAGAGATGGAAAAGTGTGCACACTGACATGCAAGGTAAAGAATAACAGCAAACTGTTAGCATAGTTTGCCCCACTCAGGGACTGCTTTGTCCTCCATTTAACTTTATCATTCATATCAGCATTACAGATTAGCATAATCAGCTTTGCCCTGTTGTCAACATCAGGTCAATGACCAGTATCAAACTCACCCAACTGGTTTTTACTCTGAGTCTTGAAGATCTTCACAGATCAAAGACAATTCAATAGTACAAAATGGAGAAAGAAATCTCCTCAATTTCCAATTACCAACTTGTGTATACTTAACATGTGCTGTTTGTGATCATTTCATTCCTCTGTGTGTACACACAAGTAGCGAAACAACAATAAAGCTCAACTTGTATGTAGTAGTGCTTGTTATAAATAATTGTATCTGTGCTTTTCATTATTTTGTACAAATCCATTTGCCCTCAGAATCTTTAATCAAATATAATATTCTTCTCCTCCCTCTTGAAACAACTTTCCTTCACTTCTTTATGAAATCCCTTTTGGGAGGGACTATCATGACATGTCTTGTTTCTGCTCCGCCTTCATCTATTCCTTAATCTTCTTCCATTTTGTTAGCAACACCCATCTAAAGTGGTTCCCAAAGGATGGCGCCACTTGACAGTTTCAAGTGGATGTACATCACGGTATGAGGGGAAAAAGGACAATATAACTTTCACTTTAAAAAGTTCATATTTTCATTGAGCTTACCAAAATGCATGGATAGCATTGTGAAGCTTACATGGAATGCAGCTTTTGAATTCAGCCAAAACAAGGTCTCATAAACATTTCATAATCATAATTATGCCACTTAACTTCTGTAGCAGCCTTCGAGCCTAGAGTTCCCATGATGCTTGACTATGCTGGAGCTAATTTCCAAAACATGCTGTCTGCTTTTATATATCTGAGAACAGCAGAGAAAGTCATATAAGCTTAATGCTAATGCTAAATTTACACAATCTGTGCACTCAAAAACACACACTACTCTCCCTCCTGAGCCCTAGGGAAATGATGACTACATAGTGAAGGACGAATTTAACGTTCAGTACGAGACACTTGCTTCCAGCTGGTGAACAGCTTTTAGTCTCTCAGCCCAAAGGGTTTGGCTCTCTGAGATATGAATGTCTGTATTATTAAAGGCCTTCGTGAAAACAAACAGCCCAAATCTCAGCACTCGTTCCAGGAGAGCACACACAGATGAAGTGATAATGGAGAAATCCACCTCCATTATGGGATTGGATGCCAGAACTTTCTCCTCCACGTTGGCTTCGCTGGCAGATCCACTGACTGTGGCAAAGTAACGCATGGCGTATTTGGCCGAAACCGTTTTTCCCGCTCCAGATTCTCCACTTACAATAATAGACTGATTCCTCTCATCCCTGAAAGATATGAAATGATGAAATTAGTTAAACAGAAGGAAAACAGAATATGTTCAAGGTACATGTAAATTATTTTTATAATTACTTTATTTTTAACCATGCAGATTTTGAACATGGTGAATCAAAAGCAAGACTATGGAATTGAAGCTTCTAGAACAGGGCTGCTCAATCCTGTTCCTGGAGATCTACCTTCCTGCAAAACACAGCTCTCACCCTGATCAAACACACCTGAACCAATTAATTAGGACCTGAACAGCACTTGATAATTACAGGCAGGTGTGTTTGAAATGGGTAGCAACTGAAATCTACAGGAAGGTAGATCTCCAGGAACAGGATTGAGCACCCCTGATCTAGAAGGGCAAATTGTGCAAATTAAAGTCCACTTTTGGGTTTTTCGAGGACAACACAAACGCTTAGAGCAAGCATTACACAAATAAACTTCAATGATAATGTATAATACACACTGATGTGGACTGTAACATAATAATGTGCAACTATTGTAAAGCTGTGAACTATCTTCTAACTATTGTAAAAATTGCTATACAAATAAACTCAATTGAATTTTCTCTCTGTTATTTGGCTACTCACATGTTTTTTCTACCAGGTGCGCCGCTAGACCTAATTTACTGGGGCACATGCCCCAGTAAAAATCGCCAGTGCCCCAGTAAATGCTTTGAGATTTAATTTACTTCATATAAAATGTGTATTTATTAAGAGTGGTAATCTGTGGCAATTGGTAAGTGGTAATTCATTATGTGCAACCGAACTACAACTGGTAAAAGCAATGTAGTTTAATCAAAAAGCAAAGTAACGCATCTCTGCATGTGGTCAGAACTATACCCGGGTGCGGATGCCACACACAGGGCTACTGCTGGACCCTGCTTGACGCGTCACTCTTATCCCGGTGACTCTCGGTTGTTAACACGCATGCTGAAAACAACTACTTGCTGCTCACGCGCCCCTCATGCGTTATGAAACCGACCGGCCTTTAATGCGAAGGTGACGGCACGCAGTGAGTTTTGCAAGTCGACAAAACTAAAGTTTCAATTATGTGATGCTGCTGATAAGCATGCCTCCTGATAGATTTTTTGTATGAAGTAAATAGGAGGGTTGACGAGTCAGGGAGGTAAGGCTTCATAAACTTTATTCTCTGCCAAGTCTAAGACAACAGATAATTATTATTTTTTTTGTATTCTATAAAATTGTCTGTATGAAGTCATTCAAATGAAATTGTTAATCATGCAAAATATTTCTTAAATGGTCTTAGCATATCACTCCAGTTGTGTCTCTATGTTGTTTTCCAATTAGATTTAGGATTTTTATATATATATATATATATATACAAAGAAAAAATATTTGCATGTATAATTTTTTTTTTATGGGGGGGTGTGCCCCAGTAGAGCTTTATGTCTAGCAACGCCCCTGTTCTCTACTATGACAATTGGTGATGAAAATAAATGATGTTCAATAAGATGTACTTGTGTTTACTAGCTGTTTATTCAGTTAAACATGAATTTGAACTGAAGGCCTGCATAAGCTCCAAACAGCGATATTTGATTACCTCAATCCAACTAAAGTCATAACTGATCTAAACAGAAATTAACACGTGGAGATATTAGTGCCAATATTGATATTAGCTTTGATATATAGATATTAGCATATATTAGTGGCAATATTGAAGTAAACACAGCAGTCAAACTATTACCATCATGTAGGACTTTTCGCCTTAATTTCCGACAAGATTGGTTTTTTTTTTTCAGACTTTTATTTCTAGAAGTTCTAAGCAGTTCTACCTTCTCAATGACTTCAAGTTAATGACAGAACTGACCTATTATGAATGTCAAAACCACCTAATCTGACACAGTGACAGACAACAGTAACAGACAAAATATTGTGCAGTCTGAACCCAGAGCCAATAGACATTAACTGATTGATACAAAATTTCAGACCTCACAGCTCCACAAAGAAGGAACAAGAGATCCAAGAAAAACGAGAGTGAAACAGAACCATGGCGTGTCTATTTTTGGCTGGGCTGCAACATCCTGACCTACAAACCTTCCCTTTGGATTGAACACTGAACATTATAGTGAATGTTATGTGACATTAACACAGTAAAGCCAGAAATACTCATATAGGAACACAAAAAAAGAAAAAGTCTCAGTGCTGTTCTGCTTACTGCTTTTAAGCACAGTAGCCCAAATGATTCATTAAAATTATGCAATTTTAAAAATGTGGGTGAAATGGAATTTATATCAGAGATAATTTATTATGTTCTGTGATGTTATAGTCCTTTTTCAGATATTTACTAAGTGATGTTTAACAGATTTTTAATTTTCAATATTTTATATACTTTTATCTTCTGATTTATTTATTTAAACTTTTTTAAAACAACATATATATATATATATATATATATATATATATATATATATATATATATATATATATATATATATATATTGCTCAAATTATGTTTAACAGAGCAAGGAAATTTTCATGGTATGTCTGATAATATTTTTTTCTTCTGGAGCAAGTCTTATTTGTTTTATTTCGGCTAGAATAAAAGCAGTTTTACATTTTTTAAACACCAGTTTGGGGACAATATTGTTAGCCCCTTTAAGCTATATTTTTTTCTCAACTGTCTACAGAACAAACCACTGTCATACAATGATTTGCCGTATTACCCTAACCTGCCTAGTTACCCTAATTACCCTAGTTAAGCCATTGTCACTTGTCACTTTAAGCTGTTTAGAAATGTTTAAAAAGTATCTAGTAAAATATTATTTACTGTCATCATGGCAAAGGTATAAATAAATCAGTTATTAGACATGAGGTATTAAAACTATTATGTTTAGAAATGTGCTAAAAAACCTTCTTTCTGTTAAACAGAAATTGGGGGAAAAAATAAACAAGGGGACTAATAATTGAGAGGGGCTAATAACAAACATTACTTGACTTGACAATTGCAAAGCTGAATTGCAAAAATCATGCCTATAATAAAATTCTCTCTCACAGTTTTTTTTATTCTTTCTTGTTTTGTGTTTGTTGTGTTCTTGAGGACAAAAACTATAAAGCACATATTTAAGTATTTGTCTAAACACAGCTCCCATGAGCATAACTACTGTTGTTATTTTTGCTAAATCTATTGAACTTACTTTCACAAAACAGTGGACATGAACCCGATCGTCTCGAGACTTGTGCACTGTAAAAAATTGCTGTAAATTGTACAGCATTATTGGTAATTTAGGTTGCCAGTAATACTGTAAAATTGACAAGTGCACTGAAAATTAACGATTACAATTGTGCCGTAAAGCAACAAGTGCGCTTGTAAATGTTGCCAGTAACATTGTAAAAATTCCCAGTTATACTGTCAAATTTACAAGCTAAAGCACAATTGTAATTGTGTCAAGTGTACAGTGCACGTGTAAATTTTACAGCAATTTCTTACAGTGTGGTCTCATTCATTTCTATTGTCTTTAAGCCGTAAAAACAACTATGGAACTGCTTTTTTCTTATGTAATTTTTATTTACTGTATAGTCATAAACACACTGGTTTATAGAGCAATTAGTTTAATTGTTTACTGATGTTTTATATTCCTAGTCCCTCATAGACAAATGAATTAGAAGTTCAACAATTGTACAAATGAGCTTAAATGAAAATTGAAAATAGTTTTAAATAGCGAACAACGAAACAAACCATCAACGGGTGTACATGAGGGTCTTCATTCATATATTTGCAAGTAGCGACAGCTTAACAAACTTCAACTCAGACTTACCTGGCCATCTGCTTATACGCTTCTTCAGCCACTGCGAAGATGTGAGGGTCCATGTCGCCCATGTTCTGCCCACTGTATGCGTTAATGATGTCCGCTCCATAGATGGGAAGAGTCTCATAAGGGTTTATAGCGACTAGAACAATACCTGTGTCAAAAAAATAATAATAATAGAAACTCAATAGGTGCATTGGTTGCATTTTATTTTAAGTTTAGTTCTCGCTATTAACATACCATTAACTATTAATAATAATAATAATAATAATAATACATAATAAAAAATGTATTAATAAAGCGCTTTTCTAAGACCCAAAGCGCTACAACAACAGAAAAATCAAACATGCAATAAAATACAAGTATATACTAAAAAAAGTTCTAAAATATAAACACTGAATAATCAAGAATCTAAAAATGCAGCCTTAAAAAGATGAGTTTTTAGCATCTTCAAAACTAGCTAGTGTAGAAGCATTTCTTACAGAATAGGAGAGAGTATTTCATAACCTAGGTGAAACAAAACAGAAGGCTCTCTCCCCCATTGATTTTAGTCTACAGGGTGGTTGTTAAAGGGTGAGAGTATCGCAGGGAGCAAGGAGGTGTGTACTGAGAGACTATGGGCTCTATTTTGACCGTCCATGTGCAAATTGCAAAGCGCAGGGCGCAAACGCATTTAGGGCGTGTCAGAATACACTTCTGCTAATATAAGGACGGAAAAATCCACTTTGCGCGGTGACACATGGTCTAAAAAGCTTATTTGAGCTTATTTTTTTAATGAGTTATAGGTCTGTTTTGAGAATAAACCAATCAAAGTCTCATCTCCCATTCCCTTGTGTCAGTTGTGCCAGTTGTGTCGCGCCATAGCACATTTGCTATTTACATGAGGACTTTGTAAGTGGAAAAACTGAGCATTTCACTAGCAAGAAAACAGTTAAACAGAGCATCTGAAGTGCAAGAATGAGAGATAAGACCTCTAATTATCTACTTTCACTTTCACTCTCGTGGATAGGGAAACCTTGTACACACAGACATCCATTAGCCTATAAATAATTAATTTCGTTTATTAAGCGCAAAGATTTGTTTCACAACTATTTCTAAATTCAGTTCTAATTTCCAGCAAATGAATATTAATAACGAAGTGTGATCAATAAACCGAGTTATATTCAAATACAAATGCTGTGCCCCATAAGTTCTGAAACCTGACAGGTGGACAAATCTAAGCTTGTTTTGAAGAAAACAAATATAAATATGGATATATTAAATAATACTGCTAATAATAATAACATAAAAAAGCTAATTGTTATGAATAAACTGAAAAAGCCTCCCAAGATGAAAAAGTTTTGTAATATTTTAATCCTTAATATTTATATCCTATAAATATCCTTATTATATCATATATATATATATCCTTAATTTTTCATTCTTTTTCATTGTAAAGATATTTGCGTATTGCTCTACATCTTGTGTGTTTTAATCAGTGTGTAAGCGAGGTGCACAACTAATGCGCTCTGCGCTGGACAATAGACCGTCTTTGTTTTGGTCTATTGAAAAATCTATTATAGTTTCTCAAAATAGCAACATGCCAGCAATGCGCCTCAACACGCCTCCCTTTTTAGACCAGAACGCCTATGGGCGCACATATTAGCACAGATGCATTTGCTATTTAAACAGCGTGGAGGAAAATGTCAAAATGACTCTTGCGCCAAGCTGAAACTAGCAAACAACTATTGTGTCGCGCCTTGCGCCTCTTTGCGCCGGGTGTACGATAGGGCCTAATGTCACAGATGTAGGAAGAAGCGGTAAGATGTAGAGCTTTATATGCAAGTGTGAGTGTTTTAAAAATGATACGGGACTGAACTGGGAGCCAATGCAAGCACACCAGTAATGTGCTGACTTGGTGGAGTGCATGTGAGAGTGAGGGCTGCTGTATTTTGATATTATTAACAATTTTGCCTACCCAATTCACCTGTACCACATGTGTTTGGACTGATATTGAAATGGAGGTGAATGGGGTAATTGGGTAGGCTAAATTGTCCGTAGTCTATGAGTGTGAATGAGTGTGTGTGGATGCTTCCCAAAGATGGGTTGCGGCTGGAAGGGCATTCGCTGCGTAAAAACGTTCTGGATAAGTTAACGGTTCATTCCGCTGTGGCGACCCCAGATTAATAGAGGGACTAAGCCGAAAAGAAAATGATTGAATGAATAAACTGACATTGGGGGGTTAAAAGGACTAAGATAATGGCAGACGTTCTGGCATGTAACTCACACTTTCAAAGCAGAATATCTGACTTTAGCATTGTTTTTCAGATAAACAGAATGTTCACTTAGCATGTTTCTTAAACATCTGCAAACTTATTATGATATTGTTATGCTTAAGAGAAGTCAAAAACTTACATAAAGCACCTTTAAGAAATGGTGTGTAACGCAGCATTTATTTACAGTGTAGGGTTGGAGTAGGAGGATAGAAGTTCTGTACATACAGTAGTCCGTGTGTGTGTGTGTGTGTGTGTGTGTGTGTGTGTGTGTGTGTGTGTGTGTGTGTTTATTTCTTTTTTATTTACCGCAGTATGTGTAGATGAGCTTGGAGTCGATGAAGCGTACTTTCAGGTTGTGTAACACAGCAGGTTCGTGAAGGTAGCTGAGAGCAGTCAGGTCATTTTCTCCCACCAGGATATCCGGGTTACGCAGGTGTGGCAAGTTGTTCGTCTTGGGGTCCAATTTAAACTCCAGGTCCTGAATAACACAATTCACAACACAGATTGCGTTTTGAAGGGATACCATTTTTTTATGACTGGGAAATTGACTCATTCATGCTTCGGGATATTCAAAACTGATTTGTTGCGACCAGTCACAAGGCACAGGAGAACTAATGCCATTATGACTTCACTGACTTCTCGGGCATTTCTAAAGGCTGGATTTGAAATGTCACAGCAAGAAATATATAATTATGTCATCATTTGTTCACTCTCATGTCATTCCCAATGACTTTCTTTCTTCTGTGAAGCATAGAAGAAGACGTTTAGTAGAATGTTGGTGGAGTTTGGCTACCATTTATTTATTGTGAAAGCTTCTTTCTGCCATGAAATGAACAAAAGATACTGTAATTGCAATAATTCCTATCACAATTCTGATTTTTTTATATCATACAATCTTAATAATCTTACGCAATTACATTTTGGTCACACGCTATTTTAGGGGACAATATGTTCTAATATCAAACCATTACCTAAGCTCAATAAACTTATTAAAAGCAAAGTATAGTTGGGTTGGGTATTAGGTATAAATAGGAATGTATATCATAATTTGTAAGTACTAATAAACAGTTAATATCTTAATAATAGGCAGGTAACAAACCAGTTGTTAATAATGTGAACTGTTGCTTAAACTAAACCCCATTTCTTTTAGAATTGCGAGACACAAACTTGCAATTGTGAGTCTAAAGTCCCAATTATGAAAAAACAAAGAAAAAATGATTATTAATGTCAACTGTAAGATATAAACTCGCATTTCTAAAGAGCAAAGCCTGGATTGTAAAATGCATAATTACTTTATTTCTTATTGCGTATTACTTTAAAACAATATTGCATTCCATGGCGGAATTAACTATCAATAACTCTAATAATATATCCCAAAAAAATTAAACATTTTGCTAAAAAAAAAATTTTAAGCTCCACAGGACAAAATCTCTAATGAACAATCATTTGAAGGGCTACAATAAATGGAAGGTTTTTATTTAATGAAGACCTAAATTTAGGTCTGTCTCACATCTAATTAGTTTGTGACTTCAATCTGATATGCAAATTTTTTTTTACCTTTATGAAACTTGACAGTGCCAGTTAATATTACCTTTCATGATATGGAAAAACTCTGAATGTGCATTTAATAAAATGTTAATTATTGATGGGTTATAAATCTGTGCAATGAGGTAATACAGCCATTAGAAAAAAGAATGTATATATATACAGTACACTGACTTATTTTATTTCAGCTAGTTCGGCAGCTATTAATTTTATTTAATAATTAAGTTTTGGCAGTTATTAATTTTGAAAACACAATTTTAAGGATACAATTATTAGCCCCTTTAGGCTATTTATTTCAATAGTCTACAGAACAAACCATCATTTTACAATAACTTGCCTGATTACCCTAACCTGCCTAGTTAACCTAATCAACCTAGTTAAGCCTTTAAATATCACTTTAAGCTGTATAGAAGTGTTTTGAAAAAGGGGGGGGGGGGGGGCTAATAATTCAGGGAGCTAATATTTCAACTTCAAATATATATATATATATATATATATATAATCTAACATTTAATCCAACAGTTTATATATAAATAAATCTTGTCAGGGATATTAAAAACAGTGTATATCTGTATATAGTGACAATCTCTCCCTCATTAGCACAGGAGGTGAGTCTTGCTTTTGAATCTGACACTTTGTTCAAGCTGATATGTGTTTCTAGGTGTTTTTAGCTCTGCCCTGGTGCAAAGAGCATGGTGCAAAACGTCAAAACGACTCTTGTACCAAGCTGAAACTAGCAAACAACAATTGCGTTGTGCCTTGCCCCGCTTTGCACCGGGTGTATAATAGGGGCCTAAATCTTTGTCATGGACTATATTTCTAAAAATAAGCTTGAAAAGTTGTTAGTAGCAGGGTAGTACTGACGTCACAGGCAAGCACTCTAAAGTCACTGTGGCCCGTTTATAGCCAAACGTTAGCTTTTCAAATCTTGCTTTTAAATTTAAGATCCAAAAGTGCTCAAAGTTGTATTTTCTTGTAAGGATTATCCGGCTGGACAAAACGTGTAAGTGTAATGAACAGTGTTTGAACACAGAGCTTATTATTTGAAATCTTCGAAAAGTCTGTGGGAAAATCATATAAGAATTTTTTCGAGGGAACCAATTTTATGCTAGCAGTCGATTAGCCTAAAAGATGACATCTTAGTTCCTCCACTCTGTTTGAATTTAAAGTGACAGTCACCAAAATGGCACAATTAGGATCAAAGCCTAAAATGGGCAGTTTTAGAGAATTATAAAACATTATCATTGTGCCATTTTTAACTGAAACTTCACAAACACACTCTAAGGATATCAGAGACTTAGGCATAATCCCAATTCTACTTTTGTATACCTTCCCTTTGGCCCTTGAAACAGAGCGTAAAGGGGAAGGGCCTCAAAATTTACCCCTTAAGAAATGGGACACCACTACAGCACCTGCACACGTCATCATACGTCATCGATCCCTTGCTTGATATGAGATTGACGGCTGCGACTGCTGTAGTTATTCCATTTGTGTTGTTTTTGGGTATTTATCTTCAGGAAATCACCCAAGGCAATGATATCATTTTATCATAACGATTTAATGTAGAAATAAGATCGTAACTATACTGCGCATTTAACACAGTGGCCATATTCATCTAAATCAACACACAAAAATAACATTAACATTATAGCAGACACTGTGAAAAGCTCACTCCCAGACACTAGACTTTTCTGACAGGGTATTCGAGGGTAATCCGTTCTAAAGGGTATATAGCCCTTACCCTTAGTCCTATGCCTTCACGCTAAAGAGAATTGAAACACCCCTACCCCTTCAAGTGAAAGCGCAAAACGAGGGGTAGGGAGAGAGGGAAGGGCTAAGAGGTAGAATAGGGATTGGGGCTTATTTTACATCTTCAAAAAGAAGCTTTAAATAGCATTTATTTAATATCCTTTATATGTACATATAAAAATCACATTTGTTATTGTAATTAAATGCAGACATCAAAATGGGAACCCTCATCCTTGTCCTATTAACAAAAAGAATGTTTTATGGGGGTTTTTTGTTTCAATATCATGTGCAATTCTGCGAAGCCTGATGGATACGAGTCTATTAATGCATTCTAGAAGCAATTCTCTTTAGCTTTTACAAACTCAATATTATAGAATACTCAGCACAGTATTATTGACATTAGCACGATTAGGCTAATAGTTACTGATAAGCTGCTAACACTAAAAGGTTGACGGATCAATTACAATTAATGTACCAGTAGATCCATTGCGCTGTAAGTAATGTTAATGAAATGAGGCTTATAAACAGCCATTACGCTGACCTTTCCATCCTCCAGCTGTAGTTGCAGTACTCCGTCTCCTTGTCTGTAGTCTTTAGTGAGCTCTGCTGATCTCCAAACCTCCTCGTCATCCGGGATCCAGACCCGTGCATACTGTACACACAGAAATAACAGTTATTGTGCAATGTTCATTCAATCTTACTGTTTATTTACTTATTTTAACCCACTGATTTAAAGCTATTATGCAAAAATCACTTTCATAAGCGGTTTAATCACAGTTGTCTGGCAGCATTGTGTGCAGATAAAATAAAGTATAGTATGTATGAACTAATCAATCACACTTGTCAAAAACAGTCTGCAGAAATACTTTGTTTGACATTCTCCCTTTGTATATGTCATTAGGTCATTAGAGGGGGAAAACACCACCCATTAGTGATGAGCTCTCCTTCGTTAGCATGAGGTGCATTAGCACGAGCATGACAGAGTGAGAAGCAGCCATCCATCGTTAGAGTTTAGTTTTTCACAGAGATAACATAAATCCTCTTTTGAATCTGCCACTATGCTGACACATGGGCACTTGCAGCTCAGCCCTCTTAAAAAAACACAATCTCATTTGAATTTAAAGTGACAGTCACCAAAACTGCACAATTTGGATCAAAGCCTAAAAGGGGCAGTTTCAAAGAGTTATGAGTGTGATATTTTGAAAAAAAAACTTCACATACACCTTCTAGGGACATCAGAGACTTATTTTACATCTTGTAAAAAAGAGGCATAACAGGTCCACTTTAAGGAATAGTGGAAACGAAAGAAGTTATTCACCTAAGCTTATATAGAATACAATAATTAGGTGAAAATGGTAACAGTCTACAAAATGTAATCAAATCAGAATCTGACTTGCTGAAAAACCCATACTATACTAAGAACACACTAATGGCTGAGGAAGATTTACTTTTTAAAAGTAAATTTGTTAAAATTATTCTACAAAAAATAATTCAATGATAATAATACAATAATATCTTGATAATAAACAGAGAAATGTTTATAGTAGGTAAACATGCCTTATCTGGTAAAGATCAAATCATGTATTAATTTATACACAATATAACATATATGTGTTATTATCACCAACGATTTAGCCTGGGTAGATAGCTGGTTTAAACACAGATCGCTAATGAACTAAAAATCCGCCATTTCAAGAATTACAAGTTTCAGTCATGCACCACACACACACACGGGTTCCTGATTACATTTGATTACACTCAAAGCTGAAGCTGCTCAAAGACTGATTAGTTGGACTAGTTATACAGCACACAAACACTGGCCATAAACTTCTGGTTTCTCCTGTGTTGGCTGTTGCTTGTCTGAACATTCTCTGCATAATAAACCCTTTTGGATCTGCACTTTCGTTGATGTTCCGCAAATGTGTATGAATGGCGGAAGAAAGTAGTTCCTCTAACAAACGGGTTTATTTGACTCTCTGTGTTTGATTTTCTCTTTTTTATAAACGATTATGCCATCGAACTGTTGTGTAAATGCAATCATTGCAATCTAGTTGCAAAAAATGCCAGGTTCCGCGATATTTATTCATGTTGTCCCAACACAAATGGATTCATTTAACTTAATTTTTTTACAAATTTAGGTAAAAACATTAAAAAAATGTTAAAACAAAAAAATCTAAATCATTTTATGAGTGTTTACTTACAAGACTCACAAACACACAAGCACACTTCCTCGTGAGCGTTTGAGTGTATGGTTAAAAACTAGCTCAGAGCGCCATCTGCTGTTAAAACCTAATTTTCAGAAATCAATTCAAGAGAATATGAGAAAATACTTTGAAAATCTCAAAATCGCTTTCTCGATTGATTCTTACAAAACATCTCCACCAAACATACATATTTCATATCTAAAATAAATGTTTTGTGAATGTTATTCTAAATATTATTTTTCATTTTCTCTAATAAACTACAACAGCGGTGATAATTTGAATCAGCTTTGCTATTCTGTCTGACCTGCCTCATCACTAATAATAACTGAATCGGTAACAGTAGAGACAGTATGAACACAGTCAGGACAGCAAAAGACAAACAGCACAGTTCATCAAAGAGAACAACCAGAACCAACCAATAATCCTGATTAGACATGAATGACTGAACCTTACAAATGTGAAGACAGAAACTAAAACAAACAACTTATGATAGTTCAGCTAAGGAATGAAAGCTATAGACAGCTAAAGATACAATAATCTAAATGATTCTGTCAATTCATGGTTTTAGACTCCCGTTTTTCACTCTGTGCATATTTAGTGTTTCTGAAAAGGCCTGAACGTGCCAGCAGTGATTACATCACTTACTCAGTCATACGGGCCAGGTGGGATGTAGTCCAAATTTCCATCATCATAAGACGTTTGTGTATGATGCTCACGCACACACAGCCCTGTACCACAGGACACTGCTCAAGCATTTTTAACAATGTGGAGTAATAATAATATATATATATATATATATATATATATATATATATATATATATATATATATATATATATATATATATATATATATATATATATATATATAATATATATAAATGAATATAATACAATACACTGTAAAAATAATTATTGATAAAAAAATAATAAATAAATAAAAAATATTTTTAAAAATGTTAAAATCTGATTAACTTATTAAAATAGGTTAATTCAACATAGAAATGTGTTGTCTTGACAATTTGTCATTTTTTCTTTTTTACAGTTTAGCACAAAAACTGTCGAGGAAGTAATTTCGATGAAATGAACAGACATGAATGCCATCTATTTTGATTAATTATACAACAGTTCTGTCTGGTTCTTGAATCTGATTGGCTGATAGCCATGAGCTGTTAAAGTAATATCAACATTTGTACACTCTTAACCCTTCTTAACTACTAAACCCACACAAGTGGCAAGCAGAGATCTACAGTTTGACAAATATTGCAGCTGTTGAACAACAATAACATACTTTTGAAGCTTTTTTAGGCGAGAATGTAGTTGTTTAGATTGCAGCTATGCAGTTTATTTATAAGGATAGTGCCATACTGAGCAGAGCAAGGAAGGTTGTTGTTCCACCACAAGATGGCAACAGAGACTGCATATTAAGTCTTTAGGGGAGAAAATCAGCATTTTGTTAAGCATAATTTCCAACTGCAGCTAAACAAATTATAACAGAACTGTTTTTTTTTTTTTATTATTATTATTATTATTTTGTAGTGCTGCATTTATACCAGGTAGTGTTTGCTTTGCTGTGGCTTTTCGGGGTTAATTATTGTGAAATCCTGATTGCAACAGAAAAATACTGGAAAATCTTTGTAGACTGAAGGCATTTCATGCCGTTCAGCCTTGCAATCTTAAAATGTGAGAACAATAACCTGTTTTGTCATCACTTTGGATATTAAGCTATAGAATTGTTCAAATACTATAGTTCTAAAGTGATGTGTGTGAGTTAGCATTTCTGCTGTTCTGGCGTCAGATGTAGATGTGTATGAATGGCGGAAGAAAGTCGTTCCTCTAACAAAACGTTTTTTTGAGACTCTCCATGTTTGATTATCTCTTTTATATAGACGATTATGCCGTCAATCTGTTGTGTATTTCGTTATCGGCTGTATATTGTTACTGGTGGGACACTAAGGCACTCGGCCTTGAGCCAACGCACGTCTCCCACCAGTGGCGATTTATAGTCATAACGCACTGATACTCGTGTGATATTCATCATTTGTATAATCCTAATAGCACTATTAAGACAGCAGCTGGTGAATGCATACTGCAAGGCCTAATATATTAGACTGATATGTTGCATTAGACCTGTTTTTTTATATTAATAAACTTTATTTATTTTATCTCACAAAATGGACAATTATAATGGTCACAAATTATGTGACCATAATTTTATATTCTATTAATATTTTATATTGCATAATATTATAAATACATTAAATATTGCATAAGAAATATTACAACTGTAAAAAAATGAAAATGTACTGACATCATTTAAATACAACCCAGATGATATATTGTTTTATAAATGTCAAATAAAGTCACTTTTTTTAACTTCTCAAAATCTAAAGTTGTCCCATAATGAAATTTTAAAGCTTAAATAAAACCTTAAATATACATACATACACACATACATATATATATATATATATATATATATATATATATATATATATATATATATATATATATATATATATATATATATATATATATATATGTATGCAAATTTATATCGAAATAACGAAAATGAGTTTAATACTCATATCACCGTTATTGAAAAAAATTATATCGCAATTTATATTGATATCTAACTATTGTCCAGCCCTAAGTTAAACCCTGAAAAAAAGCCCATACTGCATTGCACTTTATTTCTGTGGACAAAATGGATGTAGCTGAAATGTATAGGCTAAAATTATACTAATTGTGGTAAATTATTGGAATTTGTGAACATACATGTTATTAAACTATCAAACCTGAGATTTGTGAAGCATTTGTAAATCTGGAGTAAAGTTTTTGGCAAGATCTATTTTACTACCAAACACAATTCACACCTATATTGACATTGCTTCACAAATGAAGCCCATTGATTAAGTATGAAAAAAAGTCACTCTGACATTTTGTCAGACAAAATTAGATGTCAATGTACATATGAATATTGAAGTGAGATCTTGAGTAAACATTTAAGATCAGCTCTCATAATAAATGATCACAATAAATCAGTAAAGCGGGTGAAACTTGAGTGATGGTGTGCCTTTGTGGGTGATGGCGGCAGGTGTGAACGAGCAGAGGAGTTTCAGGATTGGTTTATCCAATCAGTTTGAACAAACCATCAAAGTCTATTTTTATCTGTACAGTGATCTCTATTCCTCTCCATCTGCCTCTTGTAATTATTCCTTCATTTCCATGTTTGCCAGTGCTCTAATTAACAAAATCGTTCTGCAGAGATGTTGACACATCGGAAATACAGAGAGAAAATAAACAGATTCTGAGGGATTGTTCACATGTGTTGTTTGGTTCCATTTGGTCAAAAACAAAACAAGATGCTACATTTGGTCCCGGTCTATTAGCATTCACACAGTCATTCACCTACATACCACATATATATATATATATATATATATATA